CATTCCCCTCCCCTTTATTCCACTCCCCTTCATTCCCCTCCCCTTCATTCCCCTCCCCCCTTTCCCCTTCCCTTCATTCCCCTCCCCCCTTTCCCCTTCCCTTCATTCCCCTCCCCTTTATTCCCTCCCCTTCATTCCCCTCCCCCCTTTCCCCTCCCCTTCATTCCCCTCCCCTTCTCTTTCCCCTCCCCTTCATTCCCCTCCCCCCTTTCCCCTCCCCTTCATTCCCCTTCCCTTCATTCCCCTTCCCTTCATTCCCCTTCCCTTCATTCCCCTTCCCTTCATTCCCCTCCCCCCTTTCCCCTCCCCTTCATTCCCTTCCCCCCTGCCAGGTACGGAGCCCAAGCTCAAGTACTACCTGGAGGTACCTGGTCAGTCTCCTTCCCACACGGGCCCGTTGGCTGCCCGCATTGTGGCGGCCATTGGGGAGGAGCTGGTGGGGGCCGGTAGACACGGACTCACACGGCCAGGACATAGCTGACAGAGTGTGAGTGTGTGTGTAGGCATGTGTGTATTGATCCCCGGGATGCGGGCCGGGGCCAAGACAAGGACAAGAGTGAACTTGCATTGTTTGCTCCCTGGTAGACGCAGGCGACGTGCTGCATCGGCCTGGAGGGGACCATCGGGATATGTAGGGGGCTTGATATTGGGCTTGGGGGTTAATTTGGGGGGTTGTAGATAGCGACTGACTGGCGGGGTGGGGGAGGAGGTTGAGAGAGAGCATGCAAGCGGCCGGGCAGGCGGCCGCTCGGGGTGAGGGCTTGGGCTGTGGGCTGAGGGCTTTTGGTGTTTGGGGGAGAGTAGCTAAGAGGGACCAGAATGGGGTTGCGGATCGGGGGGTGTTGCGGGGTCGGCATTGCGCAGGCAGGGACACAGGCGGTCTGGGGCGCTTGCACATGTTGAGGGTGGTTTGGACGGTGGTGTGGAGGAAGGGGGCGAGCTTCGGAAACGGCTTTGTTTTGGAGACAGCTTGAACAGCAGCCTGGCTGCCCTTGCAGATATCCGGTAGGGGGGGGGAGAGGAGGGGGGAAGGGAGAGTGAGGTGGGACGGGGGCAGAAGGCTACGGGGCCCCGCAGGGGAGTTTGTGCGTGTATTCTTGTATGCGCCACGTGTGTGGCTATGTGTTGTGGGTGTTTGTACCGTCGGTCGGTTTCTTTGTCTTGGTGGGGGTTAAGGGACGTGGCACGGGTGTCCCCAACTACTACCCGCCCTTGCTGGCTAGCTAGTCAGCTGGCCAGCGGGCTGGCTGGCAAGCCAGGTACCAAGGACTTCCGTGCCCTAATCCCTGGCCTTAATCCGCACTGGAAATGCACCCTAAGAAAACGATATAGCTATTGGGTTCCTACAGCTACCATCAACCATATTGTTCCAAGTTTCCAAGTCCAACAAGCATAGCAATCGAATAGCCGTTTTGTTTGGTACAGTTCTTATCTTGTTGTGTTATTAAGTCAGGGTTCGTCGCTGTGTGTTTGGGACGTGTTTTCCACTGTTCTCCACTGTCCAAGGGAGTGAAGGGGACGCATTGGTGGGCTAAGCGTGTACCATTTTGCACAGGTGTTGTCTGCAATGTGTTTCCAGCAAATACGACTTGTTTCACTTTGCATTTTGGCCCTTGACAGACATGACTCGAGGTTTGAAGCCTTTCAATGCTATGCTCCTTGTAACGCGTTGCCACAAAGCAATATCTTATGTGTTACACCTTGAGTTGCATGACTCTGCAAAGGTGTAATGGGCCCATACGAGCCGGAGACCCAAGGGCCATCCAAAGGCTGTCCGATGCAAACAAGCTTGCAGGGCATCTAAATCGGACTAACATTGTGCCATTGTGCTGCAGGGGAGCCGTCGTTCCTGCCTATCTTGGGAAGGCCCATTCCCTGATTTTCCCCAAAACGACGGAGGTTGCCAGGTGTCAGATAGCAGGCATTTTGTTACTTCCCACAACAAAATCCGCGGTGTTTTTCAAAATTCAGTGTATGAAACAGCAAGCTTATCCTACAGCGCAGCCCTCTTTATGTCTCTCGTGCTCTTTGTACCTACAACGCTAGTCAAGTGATACAATGTGGTGGAGAGCGCAGTGGGCATTACTTCAATTAAGTTGGTCGAGTCCAATCAGGGGTGCGACAGTCTCTGCGCATCAGTCCGTCCTCTCCGCAGCGTTCGTCAAAATTGACGACAGCTGGCTTCCGCAAATCGTGTCGTACATCGATTCAAGTGTTCAGTTCTTCTTTGTCGCAAAGTACTCCTTCTCTTCAGCGTTTGCTGTTTGCTGAGTCTAGTGGTTCATGAGCCACCTGGCTCGTCGGGCCTGACGAGCTCAAGAGCTTATAACAAGCAAACGATCAACCATTCCTCAGCGGCCTTGCAGCCGCAAGTTCGATATTGGATAATCCATTTCCGTTATCCTGAGAAACATGTAACGCTATAAGTTTGTTCCCGTCATAACACCTATATTTTTGACAGCATGGATCATGAGGGGCGGGCTGCCGACTTACTCGAACGCATTGAGCTGTGTGGGTAGGTCTTCCAATGAGCGCGGTTATTACGGAAAAAAGTACCCTCTCTTCTCTTTCCGGGCGCCGTTAAGTCCATCGGCCTCGGCGTAAGGCGGGAGGAAAAGTGATGACTTGCAGAATTTCATTTTGATGCTGCAGCGAAGTGATGCTGCTAGCATAAAGGCCTGCATGACATTTAGAGACTTCGTAGCTTTGTGCCCGGCCGCAGGGGTTGTGCATAGGAATGGGTTTAATTCTCCTCGTGTTGCATGCTTTGCTGTTGCAGGTTGCAAACTGGGGTGAATCCCTTTGATCTTTACGGCAAAGATGTCCGTGAGGTGTTTCGCAAGATGTGTGCTGCCTTGGCCGACGCGCTTGAGTTCGCATTGACTCAGCTAGAGCTATGTAAGTATGGGAGAAACGTAGTTCTTTTACAATCATGGTATGCGCATGACACCGCTGCCATACGCGCTCCGTGGTGACGCGGCACGCAGGCGACCCGGCAAAGCTCAAGGCAGCAGCGCAGGCGATCCGTGCAGCAACTGCTACACAGCGCGATGCGCAGATGAACCGCCTTGATAATGCTCTTCTTGGTCTCCTTCAAGCGATTGATGGTGAGCATGCGCGCAGTGCTGCGACGGGTAGGGAGTGCTCCAGGTTCGGCAACGCATCAAACGGCGGATAGCAGCCTTCCTCTCTTTTTCAAAGCCACGATGCTCACATCTCCAAGTGGCCCTGTGGATGTGGGCAGCTTCCCTGTGGTAGGGAGCGCTCCAGGTTCGGAAACGCGTCAAAGCCTTAGCACCCCAGCTCTCGTCAACTGCCTGGCACTTACCTTACCATTGCAAGTCGACACCTGCGCTACGCCAGCAACGTCTCGTTCTATGTATACTCCCCTAAAATCAATTTGTGCACCTTGCAACTCGTCCTCACTGCTCGCTTATTCGTCCGTAGCGACGACAAAAGCAAAGGAGCGCGTAGAGGTCCTGGAGCAGCTGGTAGCCTGCCTCCAGGCCGCCAGGCTGTTGGCATCTCGCGGGAAAGAAACCCCGGGGGGCCCGGAGCCTACACAGGAACAGCAAGAACTGCAACAACAACAGCAGCCGCCGCAGCAGCAACAACAGGACGGTCACAGGGCTGCACAAGCAATTGGCAGCGGTGCGGCGGCAGTGGCGGGACAGGCGGTACATGCTGCTGGCAAGGAGCTCCAGGCGCAAGCGGCGGATGTGTCAAGGGCCCTGCGGCTGGCTGCAGAAGCACTGCAGGTGAGGAGGAGCCGTCGGTACGAGGTGATGTCGAAGCGCTCCAGAAGTCGATGCATTTTCCTTTTTGGTGACAGCTAAAGGAAGGCAGCTCCGCCATGCACCCTGCTTTTGCGTTCTGGGGCAGCAGAGGGCACAGGTGATGTCCGTGATGGCAACACCACTGAACCCTGTCTGCGACACACCACATGTACTTCAGCGCTTATCTGCTTTGAAACCTGCTTTATGAAGGCCCCCTTACAAACAATCGGCCAGGATCACCCCGGTGGCGTCCTATTCACCAGCACTTGGAATTAATATGTCCTCGCTGCGCCGTGCCCTTGTGTGTCCGTGTCCGCCCTTGTGAGCCCCCTCAGGTCCCAGTGGCGGTTGGTCAGGACGGCGGCTCCCGCAGCGCCCTGCCCCTGCTGCAGCAGCTGGTGCCCCGGGTGGAGAACGCACTGCGACAGCTAGGGCCGTCCTTCCTGGAGCCGATATGCAGACGGGAGAACCTGACAGCGGAGGAGGTGGGTGTGAGCATGCGTGCGGGTGTGCGTGTACACATATCAATGTGTGGGTGTGTTTCACATATAATTAACGCACTTCTTGTGCCGTGTGGTATGGCTGCGTTATTGTGGCCGTGGACGTGGCATATGCGTTGGTTTGGAAGGAAGTGCCTCAACGACCATGTTGCCTGCATGCGATGGAGGTGTTGATGGTGTGCAGGGATGATAACCCAGATCATGGCACCTGCTTCTGTGGTTGGTATCCATTGTAGTGTTGCTGCTGCCGTTAATTTGTTGTATGGCCATCGGCTGCGTACGTCGCCGCCCTTTTCCTTTCCCCTGTCTGTGCAGCTAGCCGTGCTGGCAGATATGAACTCCGCACTTCGGGACGAATACGGAATGCGCCGTGCAGTGCTGTTGGAGCGAGCCAAGGTGACCCTGCAGGTGAGAGGAGAGATGGTGGGCCGGCTGTCGGAGCGAGTGTTTGCGTGTGTGTATGGAAGGAGGGTGTTAACAGAACACATCTTTTAGTTCTTTCTTTCATGCACGTGACTTCTTCCTCCCTTCCTCCCACCAAGGCGTTGGTAGATGCCGTAATTCATGCATGTAATTGCCCTCGACGTTGGGTGATTGTGATTACGGCTAAAAATTTCTAGAACAGCCATGCTGCGTTGGTTGCACTTGAATATCTTGGATAGAACGCCCTGGTCCTACAAACAGAGGAAAATGGATCGAGTGGAGGGAAACCACTACGGCACTTCATGTTTTCATTACAGACGGGATGCTTCGGGGGTTGCCCTGAAAGAAAGACTGCCGTACGGGCATGCAGCGCACTTCACCTTTTATCTTTCCTCGGCTCCTGACCCCGGACACCTCCCTTCCTCAGCCCCATGTCCTCTCCCTGTGTCGCACCAGCTTACCCCTCGCAGTGCGTGTTACCGCGCGTATGTCCGCCTCGCATCGACCCCTTCCCTATTTTCCACGTTACGTGTGCTGTGCTTGAAATGAAATGGAATGAAGCCGCCCTCCAGCTGATTCCCCTGTTTCCCTGCATGGGTGGATGGCTGTACAGGCGTTTGAGTGGTCCCCCCGGCTGGCTGAGAAGGGCATCGCGGAGGACGCCATCAAGGTAGCGACAGCGGCCAAGAAGGCAATGGCTGTGCAGCCGCAGGTATGGGGCGAGACAGCTTGTAGAGGCATCGGCTTCGGCGGTGCCCGAGGAGGAAGAAGAGGAGGGAGGGGGAAGCTTGGCGCTGGCCATGGCCAAGGAAGGGGTGCAGCACGTGGGGCATCGTCATGCACGTGGGCATTGAGTAGGGATTGAGTGGGATCGATGGTCCTCACGGCAATGCTTGCCCATGGTGCCGATCGTGATCGTCTTGTTTGCTTGCTTGCGTCCCTGGCTGCGTCGACGTTCCACAGCGGAACGGGATGTTGCATTACTCCCCCCCCAGCAGCTCCTTCCCGCTGTGGTCCTCTATTGACTCAGCTGGGGCTTATGCCGCACCCTCTGTCGCGTGTCCTTCATCAGCCGCTGCACCACACGGCTCCAAAAAGGCCACCATATGGCGAGGGCTTTTACCTGTTTTTACTCCCGGCATCTCATGGGATTGCTGCCTTAAAAGTCCCGAAAGCTGCCTTCCCTCGCGGGTAGGAGTAAACCTGTGCACTTCCCTCTATTCCCTCAGCCTACAAAGCGGTCCACCCTATCCGGCAGTCCTTGCTACCTTTCTCCGAAGTGGGTCCCCTCTATACCGGACGTCGGCAGTTTCTTTCTGCCTTTGCTGCTGGATGGGCTCTTTACTTCCTTTTTGCCTTATCCTTGTGTTGAACGGACCAAGGTTGCCTTGGACGACGTGTGGTTGCTGCGGCCAGCCGACGTGGTGGCCCTCACCTCAGCGCCCACCTCCACACTGACCGCTAAATTGGATGCCGCCGCGGAAGTACTGGGGTACAACCCGGCTGAGGATCTGGGCGTGGCGGAGGCGGGGCCCAGCTCGTCGTCGGGCCGCAAGCGGGCCGCACCCCTGGGTACTGGCATCAAGAGCATCATCATTGGAAAGGTGCCGGACCGAGGCGGCAGGCCCGAGGGGCGGTCCAGGGAGGCGCACATGCCAGATTTCCGGCCTAGGTCTGCAGGGTCCGGTGGGGGCGGCGGTGGTGATTATGGTTATGGTGCTGGGCGTGGCGGCGGTGCTGGTGGTGGTGGAGGCGGTGGTGGAGGTGGTGGCGGTCACCAGCGTCACCAGCAACAAGGTGGCAGTGGAGGGGGAGGGGGAGGGGGAGTGTCGCGGCCGCAGAGCGCGCGGGGCGGTGGTGGTGGTGGCGGAGGTTACGGTGGCGGAGGTTACGGTGGCGGAGGAGGAAGGGGACGAGGGGGGCATCATGCTATGGCGGTTGATCAGGCAGTGGGTGTGGAGCGGGTGCAGGGCGGATGGCAGGGGTCTGGCGGCAGTGGGCGTGGAGATTTTGGAGGCCGGCGGGGAGGAGGGAGTGGAGGCTGGGGGAGAGGACGCGGTGGTGGTCGCGGCGGGTAAATAAGAAAAAGGGGCAGAGGAGGTGAGAAATAATGACGAGGTTACTTCACCTTATCCGAGGTGTTGATGCAGGTGTTTTGTTGCGAGTTGTTGTAGCATTTTTTTGTAGGTTGTCGCATGATTCGTAGTTGTACATATCCTGCTATTTTTTTGTGCTAAAAGCCTTGCATGAGGTGCTGGGTCTCATACAGGAGAATTTGAAGAAGTTTTATGTCAAGTAGTAATTCGGTTGAGGGGCCGCAATGCCTCACGGCTTCGGAACGTGACATCATAAACCGCTGGCAATTTCACTCCCTTAAAAGCAGCGTACCTTGACATGCTTTTTCGGAAATCGCGAAAGCAATTTCTTGTAAGATATATAACTTTTTAATTTCGGATGTGCAGCTTCTAGGTATAGAACACATTTCGGAGAGAATCGCAAGCGCTTTAAGCAGTACGCAAGTCTCTTGTGTAAACAGGTAATGCTTGGCCTTAAAAGGCCCACAGTCCTGCGCGGTTATTGCGGGCTTGACTGAACAAGTACAAGTGAAACAGATTGAGGAACGATGACGAGAACTGCTGTCAAGCTCCTTTGTGGCGCGGCGCTGCTCGTTGTGCTGGCTGCAGACCTCACAAAGGCGTCCCAAAGCGACCCTGTACAGGTACGCAGCCACTTTCAGACAGATCGCGTCTGCGGGCACAAACAGGGACAGGTCTGACCCTTGGGTCGCTGCGTGGAAAGCTGTTGCCTTGGTCAGCCAACGATGTAAATATTTTTTTCGAGTGAATCGTAAAATGGTGTGTTGCCTTTGAGGAATTCACAGCCATGCGAGGCAGAGGGCTGTTTCGTAGGAGCTGATCTTCCCTCTGCTATGACGTTGATTTCTTTCTGTGGACTTTGTGCTGGATAGATGCCCGGCTGCTACTGAAGAGCAATAATGTTCATCTTGAGAACGCGTTCATTTCTCAGTCCTCCTCCTTTCCACAATGAACTGTGTAACGTGTGCAAGCAAGCACTGTTTGTATAGGTGCATAGATTCCCTGCAGGTCACTAACCGTCGTAATTCGTTGGGCGCGCTATCCAAACAAATCGCAATGGAGCCTGTTGGGCCCTGCTCCCGCATGTGCTGATGTCTCTCCTCTTCGCCCTCCGCTTCGCCAGTCGCACGTCTCCGCTTATCGAATCTGGTTGTAGCTGTCCCCTGCTGTGACTAATTCACCCTAAGCTCTCTGCCCGAAAGCACGTCCATCCTGATCCTTTTTGCTGCTGCTGTCTCGGTGCGGCTTCTCAACGCATAACAGTACTGCGTACAGCTGCAACCCCTAGTGGCTGTTGCTGTTGCTGCTCTGCTGCTGTTGCTGCTGTTACTGCTGTTACTGTTACTGCTGCTGCTGGACGTATGTGTGTATGTGATGTTTGTATGTGTGTATTGATTTTGGCCGCTGCGCTGCGTTTTTCCAGAGCGTGAATCCCGACCACCCCGAGGAGCTCCAGCTCAAGACGCCCGCGGTGCAGGTGGAGGGGGTGGAGGGCCACCATGACTCCTCAGCTCTGCACGACACCGCCCTGGACCCCAGCACCGCGCACCCGGGCTGGGGCGCACGGATCAAGGACGCGGTGGGGACCGTATTCCGGGGAACAAAGAAGGTTAGCCGGCCGGCTGGCCTGACAGGGAAGCGGAAGAGATGCTGGGGCTGGAAATTGTAGCAGTGGGAATTTGCATCCGTGCATCCGTGCATTAGAAGATCTTTGGAACGCTGGACCGTTGTGCCGGTCAGGTCGCGTCTGGACGGCCGTGTCCGTGCGTATGCTTTGTGGGCGCCGTGGTGTGGATGTGGTTGTGTAGTTGTGTGGGTTGCATTGAGCCTTGGGGGGTAAGAAATGCTTTATCAGACTAGAGCCAGGTGCCAGTCCCCTCCCTCCCGACAGTCAGACCCCAACATGGGGGCGGGCGGGAACTTGTGTGGTCTGGAGCTTGGGGGTTCATGTCAATGTCAATGTGTGGCCTCCCACCGCCTAGCCACCGCTGATCCGGTCGATATAGTGCGCAGCGGGTCGTCGTACGCGTCGGCTACCTGGCGCCCACTGGGGCCCCACGGCGCCGCCGCCACCGGGGATGTCGGCCACGGGCGCCGGCACAGCCCGGGGCGCCGGCACAACCGCACTGGGGCTGCCGACGCTGTCCTGTCGAGGGTTGAGATCAAAGAGGATGGGGGAGGTGGGGACATTCCACGGGCCACACACATTTGCGAGCGCCACTCGCACTCTCCTACTTGCGCATGCTGCCAAGTCCTAAAGTTCGAAGTATCACACAGTCGCGTGCGCTTCCGTTTAGCTGACGTAAGAGGCGCAGTGCAACATGCACTTGCTGGCACCCGCGTGGGATTCCGACACCTTGCCTGTCTTCCCTTTGGGCCGTCAAACCGTTGGTCCATCTCCAGCAGCTGTTTTCCTCACGTGCTCCCCCCGTGCTACCCCGTCAGGCTGCAGACGACGCCGCAGACCCCGCCGTGGCCGAAGACGGCTGCGCCACAAGCCACGACCTGGAGTGCGCCAAGAATGCCGCGGCGGAAGCTGCAGAGCGGCTGCGTGATGCCGGCTCCGAAGCCGCGACCAGCGCCCAGCAGTCCGCTCAACATGGCATGGAGCAGGCCCGCGAAGTCGTTAAGGGGGGTGCTGAGCGCGTGTTGCAAGCCTCTCAGGACGCGGGCGATGCCGCGCGCAGTGCTGCCGAGGAAGCGAGAGCCGCCGCCCGGGACGCGGGTACGGCGGCGACGGAGGGGGCTGAAAGCGCCGCGCAGAGGGTTACGAACGCAATGACCGGTGCGCTTGAAGGCACGGTGGGCGGCGTGAAGAACGCGGCGGGGGCGGCGGCGGAGAAGGGCCAGCAGGCCGCTGGAGCCGTCAAGGATGCGGCGGCGGGTGCGGTTGGCAGTGTAAAGAACGCGGCGGGGGCGGCGGCGGAGAAGAGCCAGCAGGCGGCTGGGGCAGTCAAGGATGCAGCGGCGGGTGCGGTTGGCAGTGTAAAGAACGCGGCGGGGGCGGCGGCGGAGAAGGGCCAGCAGGCCGCTGGAGCCGTCAAGGATGCGGCGGCGGGTGCGGTTGGCAATGTAAAGAACGCGGCGGGGGCGGCGGCGGAGAAGGGCCAAGAGGCGGCTGGAGCCGTCAAAGGATGCGGCGGCGGGTGCGGTCAGCGGCGCCAAGAGCGGTGTGGAGGCGGCTGCAGCGAAGGGCCATCACGCGGCGGACGTTACGACAGAAAAGGCGGCGGGCGCGGCCCGCGGCTTAATGAGCTCGGCGACGACTGCAGCTGAGGAGGTCCAGGAGGCCTCGCAGGCGGCGAAGGAGGGGGCGTCTCATGTGCTGCGCACAGCTCACGCTGTGACCCGCGGGTCGGCAGATGCGGTGTCGGACAAGGCCAGCTCCATCGCCGACGCGGTGAGGCCTCGGACGTGAGGCCTCGGACGTTATGTAACATAGCTGATAGGACGTCTTGATTGAATCGGATTTTTGTTCTGACGTCTTATCAATGACGTCTTACTGAAGGAAAGGGCGTTTGGAAAGGCCGTCTGTTCTCTATTAAAAGGCGGGTGCACTACCCAGCTGAGTGCTGACGTCCGTAGCCGTGCAGCTATTGGGGCAGCTCAGCGCAGCGCCGGCCGTGTTGCGCCGCTCTGCTCGGACCTCGCCGGCAGACACACGTGCAAAGCGGCTTCACCCTGGTCTCGGTGCTTCCGCTTCTCTGTATGTATGTATGTTCGGCTTTGCGCGTGACTTTTCTAAGTATAGCGGCTTGACGGCACGACATGCACGATATGTACGCAAGGGAAAGAGAGGGCGCAGATATGGAAGGCAGGGGGGCGTTCCTCCTCGTTCCAGACCTGGACTCAACGCCATCCATGACTCCGTGGCCTTGAGGGCAGTGAGGGCCCTCCCGGACATGTTCCGTGGACGTGGACACTGGTCGCACTGGTGACCCTCGGATCGCGGGGCTTAGGCCGTTGCCGCTGCGGATTGTAATTATAGCACACTTGCAGTCTGTTTTATAAGTATTTAGAGCTCTAAACCCAGGATCCTCGCCGCGCGCACGTGCGCTGTGGCGCAGGTCAAATCGAGCATGCAAAGCATGGCAGAGCATGTTCACGACGCCGCTGCGGCGGCGGCGGAGCGAGCCCGGGCCACCTTTGGCAAAGCACACGGCGCTGGGCAGGAAGAGGCGGTTGAGGCGGCGGATCGGGCGGAGGCGGCCGCGCGCGACGCGGGACAGACTCTGGCGGCGGAGGCTTCACTCGCCGCCGCAGGTACGTTCTTGACATGGTAGGACTCGTGGGGGAAAGGGGGGGAACGTGGTGGGTGCCGCGGGAGTTGGGGGGCCCGGCCCAGTTCTGGTTTCGTGACCCCTCGGGGCTAATGGCTTGCGGCTTGCGGGGAGACGAGGTGGAGGCGGCTGAAAGCCAGGAATCGTCGCTCGATTGAGCTCTGCTGAAGGATAAGGCGGCACTTGCAGCCGGCCAGCAGACCGCTGATTTTTTCCCTCTCTCACGCTCGCTGTTTAGCTGTCATTGGCCACTTATTGTTGGGCCAGTAGCGGACCCCGAGTAACCGAAATCTCCAAGAGTGCCTCCCTAGCCCGGGCTAGCCAGTATTCCTCCTCGCCTCGCCTCCCTAGCTCCGAAACCGGGAGGGACCTGAAATAAGACCGCACGAATCGCACAACTCGCCTTCGCACTACCCGCCGCGGGTGCTGTACTCGGCCCATGCGCGTCCCAACCAACGCACGCGCATTGCCCCGGCCGCGTCCCCGAGAGCAGATCTGCGGGCAGCCACTCGCGACGCCTACGCACAGGCAGAGGAGGCGATGGAGGCGGCCCGCCACAAGGTCGCGTCGGCCAGCAGCAAAAGCGAGTTATGAGGCCCCAAGGACTTACCGCTAAGGCCGACAGCGGTTGCTGCCGCCCTCGCAGTCCCAACGATGTCATCGAGGCGCCCTGGCCTGCTGCGGCCCTGCATCAACAGCAGCAGTAGCAGCAGCAGTAGCAGCAGCAGTAGCAGTAGCAGCAGCAGCAGCAGCAGCAGTAGCAGCTTTACGTGGGACTCCTTCGGGTTGGGAGTGGCTGGGTGTGGCTTGCGTTCTCGTTCCGCCGGCTAACCGCCATCCATGTCGTGGAACGGATCCCCGCGGCTGTTGCAGCAGCTTGTATGCTATTAGAATGGTTTTATTTCTGTGCGTGGTACGTGAAGGTTGTATGTGTGTCCAAACAATGTCCGCCACCTTGACCGGGGCGGGGTGGGACTGTTGGCGATTTTGTCCGTTGCCAGTTGTGGATGTAAGAGCAAGTATGGTCGGCCAAGGAAGGAGAGGCGGGCAGTGCGCCACGGCGGCCTTGCGACCGTGGCGGGGTGAGGGTGCGTCCGCCTTTTAGCCCTGGCCGCGCCGGCCTTCGGAGGTACTCGTCACAGTAGTCCGGTACTTGTTTGCCTATAGGGGATGTTGGCTGTTTGGAGCGCGGTATGCCTGGCAGCCGAAGGCCGCCTCAAGCTCTGAGAGGTGCGCTGATAGGTCTTCTCTACGTACGGGTCGTACATGGGCATTTGTCGTACAGGAGACGCAGCAGGATATACGTGCGTGGACCTTTCGACAATTTTCTGATGACAGCCAAGGGGGTGGGAAATGTAATTTTCGTTGCTAAAGCTGCTGCAGGCCACACGAAACGTTGTAGCCGGCCGGTCCGGTCGTTAAATCTGCCGCCCGAAATGGAAAATTGTGGAAAGATCCTACCTTGCATCGCAGAGACTTCTATCCCTTTTGCTCGATCCACAAAATTTGGTTTCACCAGAGTTGGTTCGCATGTACGCCTCCCGCATGGTTCTAACCGAAGTATCCTGAGGTGCACTAAAAGGACTCTCCCGTCACAAGGAAAGACCGGGGGCTGCAAGCAGGTACTTCATGCGGCTTTTCACGAGAGGTGTAAGTGTGTGTGTGTATGTGTGTGTGGTTGTTACAGTGGGCTCCAGAATCACGAAGAGTAGAGCCAGCGGGCCAGCTGGCCGTGCACTGCACTAGAAACTAATACACAAACTAGACTACCACCCAGATAAGACAACGCAAGTCCATTAGACAGCCAAAACCCGCGACCAATGGGAAGGCTCAGGACCCCCAGTCATTATTGTGTTGTTGCGCAATGAACCCAACTCCTCCACCTCTTATGGAATTACGCGACTGCTGTGTTCGTAACGCTGGTTCACACGGATGGGGCTCCCTTGTTATCTAGCTACCTTTTTAAAATAGTACAAGTTGCAAGTTATTGCGACCTCCCCAAAAAGCCACGTGGCAATAATTAAGGTTTCAGCATGTGTCGCTGCGCTGTAGGAGGCTCGGAGAGGCCATCCAACGGGCGGAATGAACAGATATGCACACGCTAGACAACTAAGGTGCGAGTACGTCTGTATCATAATCATCGAGACTGACGGTACGTAAGAGCAGGCAGCAGCTAGCTAGCTAGGTAGTTAGCTGGGCGTTACACGGGCTTATACGTGATCGCTCGAAAGGAAACATTCCACAAAAAAGAAGCATCATACCAAAAAGAAGCATCCCACAAAAAAGAAGCATCTGACGAAAAAGAAGCATCCCACGAAAAGGAAGCATCCCACGAAAAGGAAGCATCTGACGAAAAAGAAGAAACCCACGAAAAGGAAGCATCTGACGAAAAAGAAGAAACCCACAAAAAGGAAGCATCTGATGAAAAAGAAGAAACCCACGATATACCCCCGTTGCCCTCCATACAGCACACGCAGCCACAACCACAGATGCAAAATCCAAGGAATTCGTCGATACGGGTGGGGTGTACGCAGCTAGGTTGCGCCCTGTTGTGCACTGGTTGGACGTGCATCGTGATTGTCATTCAAGTACATACAATAAATGAACCAACATTTCATATATGAATAACTTATAAAATGGGATTCATCAAGCAAAAGTAGATCATAGGTGCAGCATCTCCCAGCCAAACGGGGCTCTGCGCCGCCCACCTACCGAACATGGCCCTGCGCAATCGACCCCTGTCATCAACCCCGGCAATCGACCCACGCTACCAGCATGCATACAGCTTTGGTGCCCCTAGGCACAGAAACATGTCCTCAATAACGTACGGGGCTCCCAACCAGCCTGCGGCGCCGGAAGTGCCACCGCTGACGTGGAGAGGGGAGTTTGGGGGTATGTGGATGCGTAACAACCACCCAGCTTAAGCCTCCAGCATGACCCACTTTTATATACATACATACATACATACATACATACATACATACATACATACATACATACATACATACATACATACATACATACATACATACATACATACATACATACATACATGCAGCGCCACCCCCGGATGGAGGGGCTGCGGAGTGGCTGCGTAGAGTGTTGGCAGTCTGAGTCGGGGTCGGGAGCACACAAGACTAACCGACTTGTGCTGTGTGCTCCCGACCCTTGCGCTGTGTTTCGGCTTCGGCCCCCGGCTCTCGCAGCCCACAGTGTAATCTAAGTCATACGTACGTACGTACGCAATATGGGTTTAATGGCCAACAGTCTCAACATAAGGATTGTTGGTATATATTGGTATACACATACGGGGATGCGTGAGCCACGACAAGTTTAGAGGTTGTAAGGGTCCGCTAGCTTTTTGAAGGATGGGTTGGGTGGATGGCTGCTTTTTCCCTTCCCTTCTTACGATCATCGCCGCTGATGCAGAAGGGGACCCACAAGCCAACCCCCTCTCCGGACATAGATATGCACGCACATACACACATGCGGCACATGCGGCACATTCATACATACGTGGCTCGGTTCATTCAAACAACCCCCTCACACACACACACATGCACACGAACACCCGCATTCACACCACCACCGGTGGAGAGGTTGGAAGTCCTCTGCTGTGAGTAGATGCACCAGGGCTGTCACATACTCCTACAGAGCTGAGTCCTGCGGGTTATTCAAGCAAAGTTTGCGAACCGATGACGATGAGCCGGGTAAAGGGCCTATCGATCCGTAATCCGTAATACCGCTTCACCTCGTAAGGCCTCGTGCACCTTTGCTGGCCGCCCTCTGCCCGCCACACACACACTGCGATACGTAACTGCATGCAGCACCTGGTCACCCGTATGCACAGCAGCAAACAGATATATTGCCGTATAGACCAGTAGTCCAATTAACACAACTCCGTCCCCAACCAGCATCCACCGCTGTCTACATTCACGCACATGCTCTTTTGCAGGCAACGGCCCGCTAGCCTGTGTGTGTGTATGTGTATGTGCGCGTGTGCGTGTGTGTATGTGTGCTGCTTCAACGGCTGTATGTGTAATGTGCCTTAGAGCGTGGTCTTCGCACCGTGGGTTCAGAGAGCAGCTGAACTGAGTGATCTTGGCAGGTCCTTGAGCTGTGTAATTCATCTTGTCCACCGCACACAACTGGTGATGAGCAGTGGCTGTCGACATCGCTGCTCCATCAGTGTCTTGCACGCGGCATGCCTGCGCTCGCTCGTTGTCGTGTCCTCATTATTATTGAATTTATTTTTCAAGTCCCCCTGCTTGCTGGCCGGCCATCGCCTACATCTGCCCTTTCGGCAGGCAGTACTGCTATTATAACGGTAGCTACGGCCATGATGACTAGTATAATGCACGACAGCTGTACAAAATGAATTGGAAATTGTACGGCAGGACAGTAGGTGTACGGCACATGGTTGGTACGCCGCGTGCTACTATACCGAACGATACTGTACGGCGTGACAGCAATATATACCGGCCTTCCGTGCCCTCCGCGTCCTCCACGAGAGTTTGCCGGGAAGCTAGGCCGGAAGAAAAGACTTGAGGAGATCGCGGTGCGGGTGATGTCCTTCTATCAATAGACACGGGGGAACACTGTGTGTGTGGGGGGAGGGGGCCGTGGGCGGGGAAAAGGAGCCACTGGAGATCATCAGTGCATGCCCTGGGCGGGTCGGTTTCACCGAGGGCGGGTCGGTTCGCTCAAAATAAAGGTCAAAAGGCGTTAAGAGGTTGAGAGATCCTCTTGATGTGGCCGACGACAAGCAGGTGCAGTTGAGGTGACTTAGTCCTTCCCTTTTTTGTATTCCTTTTTTGGTGATACGGTGATCGACTGCACTGCATGTGGGGGTAGGCAGCTAGTGACCTTTGGCAGTCCTTTTCGGATCGCTGCTCTCTATTTATTATATGTAGTTAACCTGCTCCCCCGACACGTATGAAGGTGAAGGGCGCAAACTGTCAAAGTCAAAGTTATGCAGGAGGCATTGCTAGTGGTGCGATGGTGGGTTACACATTCTTAGCGAATAGTTGGGCGTCTGTGCCTTGGCGTGCCACGCTACATGCCAGCCACTGCAACCCCCGCAACGCTGCAGTCATCACCATCAGCTATTCCATCAGAATCTTACCGTTCAGCTGAAACTGTGAGTTACTCGCCTTGAAGCCGCTCTGGAAGCGGCAGACGACAACCTGGTCGGCGGCAGCCAGAATCGGCACCAGCAGGGTCAGCGAAAGCCGGCGGCAGCCTTTTGAAAGTCAGCGTCAGAGGGAGCACACCCAACCCTCCCACACATAGCAGCTAAGGCAATGCGCAAGGTATTTAGTTGCTCTGCCGGCCCGCAACACACGAACGAGGCAGCTGCTTCCCCTCCAAATAAACACGCTGTGTATGTACCTCTGTATGTCCGGGCCCCCCGCCACTTATTGCGGCCTGCTTTCGAGGTTTTTCCATTAATGCACCTTGTAACTTGTAACTTGTATTAATGCACCCATAACATTTGTCCTCTTGGATGGGCATGGAATTCTTAACGAATCCTGCTTTGGTTAGCCCGAGGGTGAGCCCGCATGCGCCCGAAGCTCCCATGAAAGTGTTCCGGCAGCCCGTCCCTCCCTCCATCCCTACACCCTCTTACTACTACGACACAAAAATGCTTCCCACCAGCCCCCGGTACGTCCGCCGACCTTTCGGACCCCCGGGCCCTCCTCCCCCCACTCACCTTGCAGCCGCCGTACCCTCCCGGCATGCGGCTCATGGGCACATCCGCCTTGCCCACCCCGCACCCGAACACGGCAGAGCTGCGCCACACCAGCTGTACGAAGTGACCCGTGCCGCGGGGTATGTTGTAGTCGTACGGGTATTGTGCCGTAAAGTCGTACAGCTTCACCTCGGAGTACCAAGCGTCGACAGCACGCTTGCAGCTCCAGTCCGGCTTAGGGTACCTGTACGACAGCAGCGGGTAGTAATAAAGACTGTCCATAAACCCTAGCTGCTTTACTGCTTACACCATCTTGCAGTGTGCAGCGAGGTGGAGCGCAAGTGAGGGGGAAAAGCTACCCATTCACCCACAGGCTGCAAAACCTCCAACGGACCTACTCTCACGCATAGATACGTCTTCTATCCTAACCTTCACACGGTTGAAACATAAACCATTATTGTGTATTTATCCAGGCCTCCGGAAGAAATCGGCGCCACATCCCGTGCACGGCTCGCCACCGTGTAGGGTACCCCCGGAGCGTTGCAAGGGCCACACACGCCCCACACTCACGAGGCCAAACCGTACAGGCACTCCCCTCCCACAGGCGCGTGCTCCAGCTCGCACTGATTCGCCGCGAGCTCCTCGGCATAGGCCTGGGCGTCTGCCGCCAGCGTGTTGCTCCAGGCCAAGTTTGGGGCTTGGTGCCAAGCTCGGTAGGTGTTCGTGGCATTGATTAATGCAACCACGTCGGAGCAGTTGCCGCCTGGCATGCGGTTGGTGTGCAGGTGACGAGGAGCAAGTAGGGGGCCATGATGGGTAGGGTGTCAGCTTCATGGAAGCCTGGCGCGTGGCTCCTTGCTGCACGATAAGGAGGGAGTGATTCGGGCTGCGATGCCCCATGGGTTATAACCTCTGTGTCGTATATCACAGCGGGGGCCCGAATTGCGTTTTCCGCCGTGCTCCTGGCTTTTTTCGTGTCATCAGTCGCCCACATCGCCCACCAACCACATAACACGGATTTGTTCTCATTTCCAGGTCTATTGCGGGACTTTTTTGATCCATTCATTTAGCTCTTTATCATCGAAATGAATCAGTGTAATTACTGGCTACGCAAACGCAGGAGACGACAGAGGGGGGCCCCGTGGGGGCTCCCAAGGCACTCGCCACCTGCCCTGAGGACTTGGTCAGGGTTGCAGTGTGCAGCAGATTCAGATATGCGGCAGTGAGGGATTCCTACCTCCGTATGGTTCCATAACGCTCGGGCTAGACAGGTTGTCAGGTGATGACATGATCGGTGTTGTTGGGGAGGGTGGTGGAGGCGGCGACGGAGGCAGAGGCCGCGGTGGTGGGGATGGGGGTGGTGGAGGCGGCGAGGGAGGCGGTGGTGAAGGCTGTAAAGGGGGCTGTGGAGGTGGTGGAAGTGGCGACGGTGGTAAGGGTGGAGGCGGTGGTGAGGGAGGCGGAAGTTGTGGTCGAGATGGAGGTTGAGGTGGGCACGGTGGCGATGGCGAAGGAGATCGGGGTGGTGGTCGCGGTGGTCGGGAAATTGGGGGTGGTGCGCGTGGGGGTGGTGGCAGCGGTGAAGGCGGAGGCGACGGCGGTGGCAGCGGTATCCTTGGAGGCGGTGGAAGGGGAGGTGGAGGCGAGAAAGGGGGCGGACGCCGCGGCGGCGATGATTGCGGCGGCGGTGGAGGGGAAGGTGGTGGCAGAGAAGGGGGTGGAAGCAGTGGCAGCGGTGGCGGCGTTGATTGTCGTGCCGGAGAGGAAGGAGGCGGACGCCCCGGCGGTGGTGGCGGCGGCGGCGGCTGTAGTGGTGTTAAGGGTGGTGGTAGGTAGGGCGCCTTTGGGAAGGGTGAAGATGGCAGTGGTGCGAGAGGACCGGGTAGCTGAGGGCGTGCTCGCTTTATTCGGACTGGTGCTGAAGACCGAGGAGGAGGTGGTGGTGGTGGTGGTGGAGGTGAAGGCCGTGATTGCGGTCGGGTGGAAGGCGGAACGAGCGACGGTGATGGGATTGACGGTGGTTTACGGAAGGATGGCGAGGGAGACGGCGGCGAAGACAACTTTGGCAGGGGTGATGGCGGTTTTCGTAACGGTGGAGGCGTTATTGGCAGGAGACGTGGTGGCGAGGGTGGAGGTGGAGGCGGTGGCCGCGATGGGAATCGTCGAATTGGCGGCGGGCGTGGAGAGCGTGGGCGTGGGGGACTATGCTGGGGGGAAAGCCGGATCGGAGGTGCATGTGTGAGGGTCGCGCCTGCAGGTGGCGGCGACAGGGAGGGAGATTGGGTGCTAAGGAGGACGGGAGCGGCGGTGCCGGCTTTGGCTGCCGATACAGAGGCGACGTACCACCAACAGTCCTGAGGTTCCTCGAGTGGGAGCTTCGTTTCGTGCTTCTTAAAGCCGCAGCTGTTATTAAAGGGCTGTTGACGTGTGGTTGGCCGGCGACATCCACGTCCCAGGCGAAACTTAAGTGTCGATCATTTCCAATATCTGATTGAAACAAGATATTATGCATTAGTGGGTTGTATTTCGCATTTGGTTCAGGAAGTTATCGTACCATGAGTGAGTGCCAAATGCCGACCGCCAGCGATACATCGCAGGCCATAAATTGCGATATGGATCAAAATTCTGGTTACTCGATGCATTTTCTTGTGTGGGTTTGGTCACTGCAAGACAAAAGGACGGCAGTAGCGTCGCCTCCACAGGCTAACAACCGCGAATACAAGGGGGAGTCGAAATATGAAATAACTGAGATTTACCAGTAGTTATAACATGGTTATTTACTAACATCAATCTAACGGCCACGAGCATCCCGATGGGGCTTCCCTTCGTATGAAAAGGGATTTCGGCTTGTCCCTACAGACTAGCTAACAAACCATTTACAGAGGTTAAATGACAATCTACTCTGTAGGAAAAAAATATTGTGCAATTGAGCAATCTATTGAATTGTACGGCGTTACGCGTAAAACCGATGGTACTCTAAAAGCTCTCTGCTCTGAGCAGGGCAGAACCTCAGATAGGATGAACAGGTGCGGCCTTTTCATCGATCAGGCCGTAAGAGCACAGCCAATATCTGTAACAGAAATGGCAATGGCAATAGACTCGTAGCAGGAGCTAATTGAGAGACATTTATTACGAAACCGAAGGTTCACGCATAGGCAGAAGGCAAATATGTTAACAAGCCTTGTCGCTACATATCATTATTGCGCGTACCTGGCTGGTTCAGGTGCGGCGAAGAGCCTGCTGCGGTTCCTGTCAAGCACTGTCCGGCTGGCACACTGGAGGTCGCAGCAGGACGCAGACGACGAGCTCGTTACGTCCCTTCAACTGACCTCCAAGACCTCCGCTTCATCCATCCGGACAATCTCTCTCACTAAAAGGTCAGATGTCTCGTTCACGTTAAGAGCACCTACCTACAAGATAAGGTCCTTTGCCATACTTCACGTTATTTTCGCTGAAAGTGTTGGCGTTATGCGCCGCTCTCGTACAGCAATTTTGAGGGTCCGTCCTCCAGCCCTCCACTGATCTGTCCGTACATAAGTCGCGACGGAGCATTGCCCAGGAAGAGCACGTATTTGGGCTGTCCTGGAACACGCGAAGAGCTGCGAGGATGACCCAAGTACAGCATGCGACAGCAAGGCAAGGTACGCAATGCCGCGAGACAGGAAGGTCGCGGAAGGACCGGCCCAGTCGCGTACGCATGTAGGCTGAGGCCTTTTAGCTAACGCAGGGGCTCTCAGAGAATTCGGAAGCTGTACATGATAAGTTATCATTGATAACATTCTCTATTTCGCCGTTACTGCATTATCGGGGTTGTGCGCCGCCGAACCTGCAAACTTGCTCATCAGAGCCGGGCCATGATTTGAAGACTGTTCGTTGCAGGAAAAGGGACTGCGAGATGACGGTGCCGTTGTCGTAGTGCGCATGCGTATTACTAACTTATCCACGCCGGCATATCGCGTGCGGTTCACATCGTCTTTCTCCATTGTGGAGGTAATCCTAATGTACGTAGAGAATTGAGGCTGGCTTTCTGATGTATGGAAATTGCATACTGCCCCTGGTACGGTATGGGTTGCCAGCGCGTTGAGTCGTGTGCTTTGAGTTATACGAGCTTCTAATGGAATATTAAAGGATGTGCCTTGCGAGGACGGCCGAGCAAGAGGAAGGGCAGGCACCGGGCTGTTGATGACTGTAAAAAGTGAGAGCACCGAGCGGATGCTTTGCAAGCAGTGCAGATCCATTAAATATATGAAATCATAATAAAATAACACTCTGTACATTTTCATTACAATATTTTGCAAGCGTAAACTAACAACTCGGGAAAGGGGGGGTATGTATGTGCTTCGTGTCTGCACGGAACTTGTTGTCCTCAGCCCGCTTTGCCTGATCATGAAATGCGAGCGAATAAGATCACAAAAAGAAATATAATATATAATGCAAGGCCATTTGAGTCACTTGGGCCAGAACTGTACTGCTCTGTGCTGACGGCAGTAGCGTCGGTTGACAGGTCGTTTAACGGTCTTGCATTTCCCCCACATAAGCCGCATGCATTGTAAGATAGCCATTATTAGTTCATTAGCTTATTATTTTTTACATTTTCATAGTTTGATATGTATCCGCGCTTCAATTTTTTTGCAAGACTACATTAGTGCAGCCATACGGCTCTCATACCGGGAAAAGATACCGATTCATTTATGAATTTCTGATTCCGTGAGCTCTGCAAGGGTTGCCAAGCTGATTCGCATTCCCGCGGATACGGCTGGAGTCGTCGTAATGGCCACAATGCTGCGCGCTTGCACTTCAGTCTTTCTTATCTCTTTCATTCAAGGAACCTGTAATGTCCTAGCCTCTGTCCAAGGTGCGTAGTGCTGTGTCTGTTCATACGGCCAGCGACAGCCCTGAGACGTTCGGATCGCTCACTTTATTTGTGCTGAGTACTGCTTTCATGGCGGAACATTCATATTTGGCTTAACCACTTCATGGGATTATTTCTTATTAACTTTATTGAACCTTCCCCAAAATTGACCAGGGCCTGGATTTGCCCACGGCCCGCAACATCTGGTTGCCGAGTCGGTACGCGAGCAAGCTATACACAAGCCGCACAAATCCAACGCAAATCTGCTTCAGTACCAGCGCAAGCTCCTGATACGCGTGTGGAAGTGGCCGGACCCCCCGCCCACAGTGCCTGTAAGGCCACCCTCAGCGCCGAGTCAACCCCCTCCTCTTGAACCCCTAGCCCCGTATCAGCCGTCGCTGCCCCCATTCACGCCTCCTGCATCTCCCACGGCACCAAATCCGCTATCACCTCCTAAGCCTCCTTCACCCAAGCCGCCACGACCTCCTTCCCCTCCGCGACCACCTCCCTCTCCTCCGCGACCACCTCCTTCCCCTCCACTCGTAAAGCGACCGCCATCCCCACCGTCGCCGTCGCCAATAGATGTTGCCCTTTCAACATCCCCAGCCCCGTCACCACCTTCACCACCGCCCCCCCTCCCACCATCGCCGACACCGCCGTCTCCACCATTACCACCTCCTACCTCTCCTTCGTATCCACCGCCACTTCCAGCCGCACCTCCGAACCCACTTCCCTACGCTGTGTACAACGATAGTATGAATGGTAGGTTGGACGTTGGACGTAGGGCGGTACATTGCCTTGATATCGCCCCTCAAAGTGCCCTGGCTGCTGGCATCCTGACTACCTGACAACAGCATGGCTCACGTTCACCTATCGCCGCTTCCAGGCACATCGTGAAACATAATGACTCGCCTTTGGATTGACTCGCCTTTGGCTTGACTCGCCTTAACCCTCTCCTAAAACAAGATGATGAGAATCGAGTAACTTTTAAGAAAAAACACCAAAATATTCAAGAAATATATATAGATAATACCCCCACTGCCTCTTTCTGTTCTCGTGTAAGGCTTCGCTGCTCTGTTACTTTCATTGGGATTAATGGCTATTAAATAAACACCCTACAATCAAAAAGAACTATCAATATTTTTACCAGTATGATATTATTGTTTCATGAATGGATTTAGCTTTATCACCTTTGGTTTGACTCGCCTTTGGTTTGACTCGTCTTTTTCTTTTGGGCGATCACACAGCGTTCATTTCCGCCACCTGTCCCATCCAGCTTGAAGAGACACACGTCCGTCCCCTCGCGCCTTCTCTTCCCTTCCAAGCAGGTAGCAGCTGCTCCGACATAAGCGGGGTAATCAACGCCACGAACACCTACCGAGCTTGGCACCAGTCTCCCCCCTTAGCGTGGGACCCTAGTCTGGCCGCAGACGCCCAAGCCTATGCGGACGAGCTGGCCGCGAAGCAGTGCGAGCTGGAGCATGCCGCAGTGGGAGGAGAGTGCCTCTACAGCGTTGTAACGTAGGTCAATGGGCTGACTCTTCGCCACATTTCCTTCTTTTGTTAGGACGAAAAAGCGCTTACGTCCTTCCGTACGACATAGCGAGGAAAATATACTGTATGCGACATTCACATGAAAAACCTTAAGACCCCTGGTCTGTCAACATGCGCTGATTCGCCAGTTGTTTGGGGGGATATTGGGATTCAACGCGGCGTTCTTGTTGTGACGACTGATCCCTTGTTTGCGAGTCCTAGTCCCCTGGACCTGCATAACTTGGCTTGGTTCTTGGCATTACAGATATTTGACATTAAAACCTGCTGCAAGTGCTTAGCGGGTGTTCATAGGGCCACTCGGCTCTGATTACACTTTTTAAAGCCATATTTTCTCCTGCCCAGGCCATGACACCCAAATCTCCAACCACCCCGTTGCTGTCGTACAGGTATCCCAAGCCGGACTGGAGCTGTAGGCGTGCTGTGGACGCCTGGTACTCCGAAATGAAGCTGTACGACTTTACGGCAGGCAACCCGTACGACTACAACATACCCCGCGGCACGGGTCACTTCGTACAGCTGGTGTGGCGCAGCTCTGCCGTGTTCGGGTGCGGGGTGGGCAAGGCGGATGTGCCCATGAGCCGCATGCCGGGAGGGTACGGCGGCTGCAAGGTGAGTGGGGGGAGGGGGGCCTGGTGGGCCGGGTAGGGCTTGGGACCTTCGGATGGTGCTTTGCGGGCAGGGGCCAGGAAGATGCGTAATGTTATGTCCGTAAGGAAGGGAAGGGCCGCGAATCGGATACGACAGTGCGGAATGGGACGCGAAGTGTGCCACGGGAAGGCACGCGGCATGTGTGCTCGCATTTTCGCACTTGCACGGGGGTGGTGGTGAAGTCCGTCAGCTACCCAGTAGGGATCACCTAGTGGTCACACTACAAGTAGTCAACCACTTGACCCCTCATGCACCCCCTCTTCAATGAAGAGTAGCGATCTGACGATGTCACCTTCCTGGCATCCGTGCAGATCGTCGTCTGCCGGTACAGGACGGGCTTTAAAGCGAATAACTTGGAATTTCAGGAAAACGGTGAGTGCGTGCGCAAGCCTTCCTATGCCGTCCCCTGCCAGAACTTGTCAGATAACGTATGTTAGGGCCTAGCTGGTGCCCATGCTGCGACTCGACCTGCCACAAGCATGGCCGCGATTAGCTTTTGTTGCGTGCCCTTGTAACACGTGCCAGGTATACTCCCCGGCAATGCCTTGTCGTCACCGTTCTGCAGCAGTAGTATTGTTCGTGACACGTAGGAAGGCCCACGCACGTTTACATGTACAGCGAAGGCCCACGTACTGTAACCACGCGTACTAGCTAGCGTCCGTACTACTCTGGTCCGTTACGCTCTTTTTGCATAACATTTTATGAAACCAAAGGGTGTAATAATGTGACGCCCACGTGTACGGCAGCACCCACCCACTCAAAGACACGTGCATCGCGAAGCACGTGTTTGTTTTGTCAATGCTGATCTTCTCTGCGTGAGTCCGTGTCTTAAGAAATCCTGAAGTCCTCTCTTGCTCCCGCCCGTTTCCACTCCTCGCCTATCGGATCGGCCGCAGTGTTCCCGCGCATCAACTAAGTATCATCAGTTCCAAGCCTACACGGGTCTGCCTCGTCTGCGTCATCTATGCCAGTCGCATGGCGGCTCGACAAACACGTTCCTGCTACAGGTTCCTGCCGGCCGGCTAATAGCCACGTTTGTGTGGCATATCTGCTGCGAAGCATATCATTTCATCATCTGTACATAGGCCTGCTGGCGTCGAGGGGCTGCCACATCGACCAAAGGCCCCGGTTGCGCGTGCTGCAAGGTAACAGCGCGAAGATTCCGATGTGTACTGCTGCATGAGCTCCGTCCCCATGTTGTGACTAGTTTTGTTTTAGTACGCGTGTCGTTTTCTGTTGCTGATGTGGAAATGGATGGAGAGCTAGCGGTATGGAAAGGCTCGAAAGGAGGGTTGTGGTGCATTAAGGCGGCAACTGCTTTCCTGCTTGATGAATGACTCGGCCAAAAGAGCCTCGCAAATCGAGGCCGGGCTGTCGGGGCCCCAACTATATTCATCATGCTTCCAATTTTGTCAGATACATGAAGCCAATCATGATGCGTGTTTTCCTTAGCCCAAGATATACGTCGCGTCGTTTGCGGTTTTGCAGATCGAACCGCCGGCAACTATTGCGTATGTATATGTCACCGACAGGAAGATTTTTGTGTGACGCCGCGAGAAAGAACAGATGCAGTTTGGACGTTTCCGCTGCGGGACCTCCATTACATTATTATTACGGTATTTAGTTGTATTCAGTTATTAATTGCTAGTGATTAGTTGTATTCAGTTATTAATTGCTAGTGATTAGTTGTATTCAGTTATTAATTGCTATGATAAGTTATTCAGTTCATTTTTATGGTCGACTTCATGTCTTCTTTATACTAGACTGCTATTCGTTGTTTCAAAGATTAGAATTAGTAGTATAATGGCTATGCTGCGGGTGAATAGAGTAGCAATGATGAGGAGTAATGTCGATGTTGCTGACATTTTTGACAGTTGGAATATTATTATCATATTGTCGGATCGCTAGACATGTGGACCATCGCAGTCCTTGGTATGACACCATTTTATTGTGCGGGTTGACGGCCTGCGCTTACGAGCACGGATTATAACATGGCGCAGATGGTTGAGTGGCCTTTCTTTGGCCAGCATGTGCTGGCCATGTCATTTACACATTGAAACGTCGCCCAGGCTACTTAGTGGCGGCTTGTGATAATATCTGCCTCGATAAATACATTTCGCATGTATTATTGCGCATGTACTGATGAATTGTTTGTTATGTGTGAGCGTCTATCTGTCGCACAGGTCGCATAAATCGGCCCGAATGGGTGGGCTGCTGTCGGTGCTACATTTATTGGTAGATGTTGATAATGTTTGTCGTCTGTTGTTCTTGAGGTCGTTTCCAACTTTGGGATTGATTGTATGTGTTTGAATCGACTCGAGTGCACGATGTGGGCATCAGTCCCCATCAGTCCCCGTCGCATCGCCCCCGACCACCAGCTTCACCAACCATAGTTCGTTACCACACTGCATTTCAATTTGCACAAGCTGCATTGTTAGAATTTATCGTGCGTCCGTGATTAGGCATGCATTGCCTGAACAAGAATGTCGCTAGGGCTAGATTTCGGTCTAAGGCGTTTGTTGGTGAACAGTGCCTACCTTGACGAACGTATCTGCGGGGACGTCGTCTGCGGCCCCTGCGCCCTTGCAACCGACCTGCAAATGCGACGCATTGACTTGCAACTGGGACGTTGGACTGATAGGTGTGTGATGCAGTACGGTGCAATCTAGGTGCATAAAACCGCTTGGCATGGGCTTGCGCTTCTTGTCACTACTGTTTGGTGGTGGAATAGGTAGATAACAGATAGGGGAAGCCTCTCTTGTATAAACAAAACATGTGTGTGTGTGTGTGTGTGTGTGTGTGTGTGTGTGTGTGTGTGTGTGTGTGTGTGTGTGTGTGTGTGTGTGTGTGTGTGTGTGTGTGTGTGTGTGTGTGTGTGTGTGTGTGTGTGTGTGTGTGTGTGTGTGTGTGTGTGTGTGTGTGTTACATGGTTGGGGGTGCGTGACCCCATACCTGTAAGACTACCCATACGAGCCGAAGGCCCAAGGGCAATACTACAACGCCTAAAAGCCACGGAGAAAAGGAACGCATCACCTCCAGCAGCAGCTACTGCGCAAGCTTTTAAAACGAAATGTGCACTCGCACGGCGATCACAACTGGAAAGGGCTATCTCGCGACTAACGTATTGTGGGCAGGAGCCGTCCGGAATCTGCACTGAATATGATAACATTGGGACCACCGTTACGTCGGAACACGCAATACGCTGTAACTTGAGCTATGCAACGTAGAGGCGTAGTACTTCATGCGGCCAATAGTTTGAGTAGTTTAAGTATCATATATCTGTCCAAAGGCCGGCGGCGGTGTGGTACATCCCAAGCCAGTTAGTACGTGCACCATGCACAAAGGAAGTGCAGTGCATTGAATAAAGCTAGAGTGATATTTATAGCTTATATAAAGCTCGCAGTTCGACTATGGATGACACGTAGAGCATGGAGCATTTGTACAGAGCAGCAGGGGTGTTCGCTGTTGCGAAGCCGACTCCAAAACCAGACAATTGTAATTTTAGCGAAATAAAATCTATGCATAAATAATATAATTAGAAGAATTACAGATGTTTCATATGACCTGGCCGCGCAAGGTATCGCATGAGGCATGATAGCACATGGTTGACGCACTTATACGGCACATCAGCCAGTGCTATCTAGCATGAGCACTCCCGCAATCATGTGACGCCTGCACATGCCTTGCTCATGTGTTCTCGTCATGTTCGAAGTCGAAAGTGGAAAGTTGTGACAGTTCCTGGTTGCTGATTGATCCTGCAGGATGCGGCCTGGTTACGAATGCCAGTTTCTATCTATAGAATTATTTAATATCTTAGATCCTAGAGGCGTTTTCTAGCATTTGCCGTGCAAGGCGTGGGAGTGCGTCCCGTGCGCAATGCAGCCGCTGCCAGGTGCGGCAAGCTTCGGAAGTATCACTGGAAAGCATGTGAAAGGAAACGTGGTGGTGCCGGTGCCCATATGTAACGGAAAGCTGGATGATGCTGAGGGAGGTACCCCTTCTTTTGGACTCGCCTCTCCATTACAGGTGAAGTAAAGTTGTCAGATGCGATTCCGTATCTGCTTCTCTGTCCCTAGCTGTGAAGCATTTTATTGCGTCCACCGTTACGAACCATTGGGTTGCTTTGGAACCCTTAGGGTTCTCCTCTGGTTTCGCAATTTGTTCACTGCTCAACAATTGCTCAGAGTTTCTCGAATGGCGCCACTCCCGTGCAGGGCGGACGCCTAGATGGGAGGCCGCCGTTGCTAAGCAATGGTGGAAATGGGCTTTCGCTTGACCAACTCACTCCGGATCCGTCCGTATCCCAAGCGAAAAGCGGTTTTGCAGATACATCCGTTTCGTATGGAAAACAGCAAGATAGACTCACGGCGCAGCTGGCGGCCAGGCAGGTGGGTCATGCGAGACAATCGGCGCCAGCCTCACACCCCAGTTGCCGCACGCACTGCGGCTATATTGCATTCAAAAACTTATGTCTATTTCCAATCGCCGGTGATCTTTCTTCACACCCGCACTCGCAGCGGCGTTCATCACATCTGCACGAGTCTTTACGCGTGGATGATGGCTATGCCGCGGCAGAGGAGGCTGGGCCGTGGGCGGTTCTTAAAAAGGACATGCAAAGTTCCACTTGGAGATCCCGATGGAAGCGACGCCTCCACCGACTAAGCTACAGCCTCCTCGTACGGCCCGGGAGCCCAAGGTTCGCACCTACCTGCCTACTTACCTATAGCTACAAGGGACCAGCGGAAACGCTCTCCCAAGGGTCAATGGCCTGGATTTGGCGAAACCGTAAAATTCGCATTCCGCATTTCACCCTACCCCCGTCACCTGCAATGATTGCTTCCACTACTACTCTCTGTGGTAGTGGATTTCGCACCATGTCTGAAATGCCTGTGCGACCCATCAATGAGTTACGGACCATATAAAATTCGTACTGCCAGCCTCACAAAGGCTCACTCATCAGCACTGCATGTCGGCGCGCAGGCTTTGCTTCGCCCTCGGTAAGCGGCACTTGGAGTATTTAATGCTGCCGGCTATCTGGCAAACGTTGTCAATTCGGCAATTCCTTGATATACTACATTTATGCCATCGTTCTGCCGTTTATGCTGTGTGCTAAATGTACATTTGTGCATTTGCAGGTTGCAGAACTGGTTTTTCGTCTGCGTGGTGATGGCGCTGCTCAGCGGCTGGGAAACACCTTTCCACTTCGCTTTCGTGGAGCCTGGCGGACTGCTCAAGTAAGAACACCGGCTAAGGGTAGGGTACGGTAGCATAAGGCCCCTCCTCCCTGGTACAGCGTAAGCAAAACCTCGGCCCCTGGTAGCAAGTTACAAGTTACAAGTTCTGCACGAATGCGGGTTCCTGCCGTCCGTAAAAGCATAAGGCCCTCGGGGGTTGTTCCCGCCGCCACACCCACGCCACCGCGACACCACGACACCGCGATGACGTCATCTTGGCCCGGACCACACACCCACAGAGATGGGACATGACACAGACAGACAGACAGATTCACAAGACGTAGACTGGTAGTGCAATACCCGCTGCGGGCACCCAGCACTTGCTGATGAACGCAGGGTTTGGGCTTGGAGGGGGGAGCTCGCTTCAGGGGGTTTACGAGCGGGCAGGGCAGAAGCTTGCTTCGCTCCTTGGTTGTTTGACTGATTGCCTGATTGACCCTGCAGGCCTTACAACGACTGGGTTGCCATTGTCGAGTACATCAGTACGGCTGTCTTCGCCCTGGACTTCATGCTCAAGTTCACCACCATGTACATCGACCCGGAATCCGGAGTGCTGGTTGGGTCGCGGAGGAAGATCGCCAGGCGCTACGTAAGCAGGTGCGACGGCAAGCAATGCCTGGTGCTGGAATGAATGCGTAACGAGGGTGACTGTGAGGTGCATCGCCTGCTGCCCCGCAGGTGTGGGGTGCGTTGGGGGGGTAGGGTTGGGAAGGGGGTGAATGGTAGGTTGTGTGGATGGAAGGCCCTTAGCTGCATGCATCGAGCCGTGCACGGCATACGACAGAGAGCCCCGGCGTGTGCGGGGTTGATAATGGTGATAATTGTACAACTGGAAGAGCGATTCCGGATTTTGAGGACCTCCAAAGGCCGAGGCCGTCTCCAGGCGGAGTAGCTACAAACCCAGCACGGCACCCTAGGAGGCGGATCACCCTATTTCTCATTAACAAGCGTTTTTCGTTTCTCTTTCGTTCCACGGTCTGGGCCACGGTCTGGGCCACTGAGCCCACGGCGTAGGACCTCCTACAAAAGCATGTGCGGAAGCATGTTGCACGCTGAAGCGATGCCGCCTCAGTCTACCCTGTCTCATACGCTGATGAATGCGTGGCACCTATGGCACCTAAGGCGTGGTGCGCCCTCCCCTCTTGCCGTGCTGTCCCTATCCGGTTCCAACAGCTGGCAGTTCTACCTGGATCTGATTGGCTGGTTTCCTTTGGACTGGATCACCATCGACACGGCTGCGGCGATGGGGGCAAGTGAGAGGACGCTTGTGTGGCTGGCGTGGATAAAGCTACTCACGCTGGTGGGTAATTCAGGGCGGCGAAGGCGACCGCTACGGCGGACGGGTCTGGCATGGGGTTGAGGGTGAGGGTGAAGGGGATGATGGTGAGGGGGTGAAAACGCTGCCCGACCTGAGGGTTGGAGGATGAAGGGGAGATTTAACATTGGGCGGGGATATCCGCCAGCTTGGAGGGTGGGTGGGTGGGTGGGTGGGTGGGCTCATCACTTTGGTTTCGGATGCACACGCGCACAAGGGCCTGGCTCCAGGTGGTCAACTTAGGAACCCAAAGCTTACTTACCTATCTACACACCGCCTCTGCTGCGCACACCTCGCACCGTATCACCCACGCAACCTATCGCCTTGCCCATGTCCCCCGCGCTCGTTCCCTGACGTAACCCTGTCTTGTGTACCCCTGTCCCCACGTCTTAATGCACGTGTTCACATGTACGACCCCGTACAACATTGTGTACGAGCAACAACAGGTGCGTATGTATCGCGTCTTTGAGCTGTTCGCGAACCTCGACTATCGAATGGTGCTCAGCCAGGGTACTCTGCTGCTGACGCGCAATTACACCTACGTCTTCTTCATCACGCACTGGGCTGCATGCATCCTGTACCACATCGCCTCGCACCAGAACTTCTCGCACGACTCCTGGGTGGGCCGCAATGCGGAACGCTTCATGGGACGGCCCGTGTACGAAAAGTACCTGCTGTCGTTGTACTTCAGTACGAGCGCATTCACCGGCCTAGGAGACGCGGCACTGTTCGCATCTACCGTGCCGGAAGCGGCATTCATGGTGATTTACCTGTGAGTTGAGTTTTTGTGTAATTTATGTTGTAAACCAATATTTTCCATTGCAATAGCTCCTGTTTGATGCTACCCTGCCCTGACTTAAACCTACCTGCCGATTTAGCAATTTGAGGCTGATTGCCTGCTGCTCTGGGGCCCGCAGCTTCTCCATTTGCCTCTGACCCGCTCCCTGATTACCCCTACAGCTTGTTCAATCTGTTCCTTGGCGCCTACATTCTGGGAACGGTGACTATGCTGGTGGTCAAAGGTGACGAGCGCAGTAAGGCCTTTCGAGAACGCATGAGCAACCTCAATGAGTTCGGTAGAAACAACGACCTGCCCGAGGTGGGTTGTGGCAAGAAGTAGGGGTGTATATTTTTTTGAGCCGCGAGAGAGGCGAAAATGGGGTCTCAGGAGGGACACTTGCGCCACAGCTAAATTTGCCACACCTAAAGGCATCGGTAGCCCCACTTAAACCTCCCTTCCAGCACATATACCCCCCCGCACGCGTGTCATGCCATTTACCGTGCCGTGTCGTGCCCTGTGTCATCATCACGCCTCCGTGCAGCGGCTGCAATCAGCCATGCAGGAGCACCTGGAGGTGACCTTCAACACCGAGCAGATCGACGACGAGCACGTGCTGGGCATCTACCCAACCACCATCCGTCGCAAGGTGCTACGTCACCTCTACCTGCACCCCGTACGCAGCTGCTACCTGTTCAAGGGCTGTAAGCAGCGCTTCCTGGACGCCCTGCTCACCGTCGCGCGTGTGGAGCTCTTCATGCCGGGCGTGCAGCTACTTACCGAGGGCGACAACGTCACCGAACTAAACATCATTGTCTCTGGGGATGTGCTGGTGGCGGAAGCGGGCATCAACCTCAGTGCGGCTTTCAGCCAGTTCGCGTCCACGGACCCCTCCAACCGCTCCACGAGGCGCAGGAGCGCCAGCGGCGACCCTGGCGGCTCGGTGAGGGGCTCCATGATCATTCCGGGCAGCAGCCACTTGAAGCGCAGCTCTAGTATGGGCCGCACCTCCAGCGCCGGCCACAACTCAAGCGTGGGGAGGAACTCTAGCTGCCACGGCAGCATTACAGGTGAGCGTTGAGTGGGCGGGGGGGCCGGGCGGGGTGGACGGATGGATGGATGGGCGGACTTCTTAAGCTGGGCTGGGTTTGCAGGGAGGCAGGGGGAGAAAGTTAGATGGCTGTTGTGGTTAGCGGGGTGGGTGGGTGGGCGGGTGGGTGGGTCAGCTCAGCAGGGTAAAACCTGGCTCTTAACATCGTTTGGGGCCGTTTCTGATGGGCCCGATCGGCGGGTCCGAGAGCCAAGCGCCCTCGTTCGTTACACCATGATGCAGTTGCTCTCCGACTGCTGGCCTCGGATGCACTATGCGCTTACATTACGCATCGCTGTTTCGTCTTTTGCAACCCGTGTTGACTTAGATTTCCTGATCGATGGCACCAACGGCTTCATGGAAATGGCGACTGGGAGGAAGGTGAACACGCGCTACAGCGGGGACGCGCTGGCCGAGGTGCCCTTCTTCACAGGTCCGCGGTCCGAACTGTCTTTGACTAGACTGGGTATGAGCTCCAGAAGTCCGATTGGCCGCATGTATGCGGCCCGTGTTGGGGGCTTTGCTGGCTGGCTGCATCACCGGAGTATTGGGAGTATGGGTTCATGCTAGAGCTGATGGGCCTGAGTCCTTTTCTGGTGGGTCGGCACCGCAAGAGCTAAACGCCGTGATACATCATACCATCTAGCTAGTTTCGTCTAACGAGTTTCAGGGGGGTTCTGCTGCACTGACCGGCCATTTTCATCCCTGTGTACTAGTGCTGGTGGCAGCCAGCTAGGTAGGTAGCCACTATGCGCCCGGCCATCTGAGCTTACTGTCCCTGTTCCAGTGCTGACCTTCTCAACCCCCCCTCAACCCAAGCAACAACCTTCTTAAGCTCCAGCAAAACATCAATCCTAACACCTTAAGTAAGATGCTTTCCGAAACTTCCCCCCCCACCCGTTCACACGCCCACCCGTTTCCCTCCTCAGACGTCCCTTCCAACGAGACCATCATGTCCCAGAGCGTCGTACGGGTTTTGAGCATTCCCAAGGCCGCCTGGGAGGAGCTGATGGACCAGTACCCTCAGCAGGCGAGACTGGTGCTCACCAACCTGCAGGCCCGCACTGAGGCGGCCCTCTCCCACGAGCTACAAGAGGCCACGGAACTGACGCAGCTCACGGAGGAGCAGCTGCGTACTGCGCTTCAGTACGGCAAGGGCCGGCACAAGGCGGTGTTCAAGCAGGATGCGGCGCCGCCCATTGACTTGACAGGTTCGAACGGAGGTTGTGGTTCCCTACGTGTGGGACTGGGATAGGAGAGGTTCAGGCGGCTGGGGAGGACAGGGACCCTGCCCAAGCAAAGCGAAATCCTGCTTTCGTCTTGTCCTGGGGCGCATCCTGGTTACTCAATACGCCTTTTAGGCTTCTGTACGCTCGCCTTATGTACCATCCCTTTCCTCCCTTGCGTGCCCAGCCTTAACCCGCAGCCCTGCACGCCGCATCCCCCACCCACCCGCTGCAGAGATTCTGCCGCAGACCACGATCGATTTCCTGCACCGCCTGGACGACGTCCGCGCCATCGTCCGCGCCCACGTGCGCAAGGTGGACCAGCTGCGCACCTTTGAGTTCCTGGGCTGTGCGTCCGACGGCGACATAGAGACGCTGCGCGCCATGCTCAACCAGGGCATGAACCCCAACAGCTCGGACTATGATGGTCGTACGGGGCTGATGTTGGCGGCGTCCGGCGGGCATGAGGTGTGACGATTCTTTCGCGAAAGTTGCTGTGTTCACGTGCACGTGTTGGGAAAACTGCCGTTCCAAGATACGCTAGATCCCGGGATAGTGTCTGATTTGCTTTGGGTTGTGTGTGTGTATTACGCCTCTTTTTTTGAGTTGCGTTGTTTTCCAAGGGTGTGCCGAGCGGACCTGTAGGGTAGGGGATCACCTAGGCGGGGCTGACCGAAAAGGGCCGACCGAGCGTTTTGTTATGTACTGCTTGCCAATTTGGACGGCCGCCAGCCGAAGGCAGGGTGATGGATGCAAACATTTATAATTCGACGTGAAGCAGCCGCTATGGACGCGAATGCGTGTGTGGCTATGTGTGTGCAATAGCGTAGGCAGCAGGGAAATGCTACGGGTTGTGTCACATTGCTGGTCCAAAGTTCTTGTTCTCTGCAACTGCTGCTAACTGCAACCGCCCCGCCACTCTGAGCACCTCCTCACTCTCAATTAGCATCATAGCAACGGATCCATGATTTAATTGCAGCTGGTCGAACCGCATGCTTCCTATCCTAATTACGAAAATGAACAGTTCAAAATTTGTGGTGATGTGGCTATGCTGTGTCCTATCGCAGGCTGTGGTGCGGCTGCTGCTGGACAGCGGCGCGAAGAGTGACCAGCTCGAGTGAGTAAGCTGCCCTAGCAGCCCGTGCCGCCTGCAGTGGGGGGTTGCGCGTTGGGATTCAGCGCTGATTGGGGGATATGGGGTCAGCAGGAGGCTGTCGCGTCATACGACTGAAGCATCCACAAAGCATGTGCGTATGGCAGATTCGTCGGAATCTCTTAGGAGCACACGAGCCCGAGCGGAAAGCGATGAATATACAAGTGGAGAAGTTTATTGCTCAGTCCTGCCGTGGTGCGTTACAGTAGCTAAGCCGCCAACCGCAAGCACAACTCCGTAGCAAAGCAACCCGTTGCGAAACCCCCTCCCAACACCAACCCATTGTGAAAGTTGCATTAGTGGCCGATAGTAATGACAGGTCTTGAAAGGACCCACAAGTGCAACGATCACTGGTTGGTATAGGTCAAGAGGGTCATCACCCATGCCCCAGCCGCGGTGCTGTCTTCACCATTATGCTCTCGAAACCTCCGCACTCTTCCAGCACCCAGCTGCTGCACCAAGCTGCAATCCGCACGGTTGTTAACGGCAGCGGTCACACCTTCAGAGTGCAGTGAGTGTGTTCCAAAGCGCGGAGACAGCCCTGCCTCCACAAAGAGCCTCCACAGGGGGCCCGGAGCAGTCTGTATGGTTGAGTGGGATGGTTGTGTTAAGCGGCGTGGTATGCTGCTCCAAGCTCAGCATGCCATCCGAGTTGGCCACGACCCAGCGGAGGGAAGGGATGGTGGTGACGATGCCGCACAACCCATATCGTGTCCATCGGTGCCGCTTGCAGCACACACGGACCACTACAAGTGGGGCACGATATGTGTATCAGGGTCTGCATTTCAGGGGTGGCACTGGCACAAA